TTCCAACCTAGTTGGAAACACAGACCGTCAGCCTTATGCTGACTTAAGGTCACTGGGCCCATCTAGCTCAGTAGGGTCTACACTGATTGGAAGTGGCTCCCCCAGGGTTTCAGACAGGGGTCTCTGCCTGCCCACCTTGGAGATGCCAGAGACTGAACCAGGGGCTTTCTGCATTCTAAGCAGGTGGTCTAACACTTGAGCCATGACCCTTCCCTTGGAACTATGGCATTTCAAAATGATTCTTGCCTTGTGCACCCCCAAAATTCTGGTCCCTGGATGAAAAACCTCGCTTAGGGTGGGCTTATCCCTCAGGATCCATCTGGCTCGACCCTCCCTTCTTGACAAGTGCAACCACAGAACTGCTAGCAGAGAAAGCATTACTTTGTGAAATGCATGGTTAATGAATGGAACTCCAGGCAGGAAAGGCAGTAAAAGCGTTAAGAGTTTTTTTTCTTCAAGGATTAAGTAAATACATGCAGGGAGGAGTGATCTACCGCTGACCATTAGCCACAGCAGATAAATCCACAAAATGGCCTTTAAGACTCCAACAATGGCTTTGCATGGTCACTAACTAGTGAATTTGACCTTCTGGAGAAAACCTTTTTCATGCTTGAAGTGCACTGGGATGATTTGATGCATTGGCACATGAAACAAAAAAACGACAGCCTCTTCTGCTGGGTTGTGAGTTACAGAATGCTTGGGATTCCTCGCTGTTGGGCGATAGCATGGGAAAAGCTGTTCAGCCCACTATCCGAAGTGGGTTTAGGGAGCACATGGGTGCACAAGGCACATAAGCTCTGAAAACTCACTCCTTGGAGGGGGGGTCGGAGGGGGTCCTCAGGCCAACAAGATTCCAGTGGGAAAGTCAGAAGCAGGACTTGAGCAAAACAGTACTCTCCCAGCAAGTGCTATTCTGCCACTTACTGAGGAGGCAGAGCATAGCCATCATGGCTAATAGCCATTGATAAGTCAAATCTCCACCAAACATATTTAAAGTACATGGCTTCCCCCCCCCCAAAAAAAAATCCTAGGAACTGTAGTTTGCCTGTCGCAGAGCTACAATTCCCAGTGCCCTCGACAAACTACAGTGCTTTAAATGACTTGGTGTAGATGGGACTTGAGTTTGATGGTTCTTGGACCAACATTCAAGTCTGCTTTGGTTGTCACTTGGAGCTATCCATGGTGCTACCCACCTCGTTGGTTTGCCTTGGGGCTTTGCCTGACTTTGCTTACCTGGACTTACACTCTTGCTTTTGATCTTGCCTAGCTGCACTCTGACCTATGCTTGTGCTGACTCTGCTTCTTAAAACTGGAACTTGTGCTAGTGATATGTGACCTTGTGTTGTTGGTGTCCCTGGTGTTCTGTGACTAGGCCCCACTTGACTAGACCAGTGCTCCCCAGCTGGGACAAAACATGGGCTGATCTAGATGGCTCCTCAGTTTTTATGCACTAGTTAGACACAGAGGAATGATGGAAGAAACCAGCTGGGGAACCCCCAAGGAAAGAAGGCTCAGAGCCCAGGGATTGGTGGTGGGATGAAGATAAGTGGTCAGAGAGAGAAGACTGGGAAGAGGATGTGTCAGAAGCGGAAGAGGCAGCAGGTCTTAGTGCGCTGGGAAAGTCTGTGGCAGAGAGAAGTCCAGAATCAGAGGCAGAAGCTGAAGCAGGAGAGTGGGCTGAGGGAAGCCAAGAGGCAGGGATGAGGCAGGCTGGTGAAGAGGCAAGGGTGTCTCCCTCTCCTGCTGCGACAAGCTCCCCCTCCCCACTTGTCTCCCAGAACCAGGAGATGCATGAAAAGGGAAGAGGAGAGGTTGGCTGCATGCAGGCACAGTCTCCGATTGCTTGGGGAAAACCCTGGAAAGGAGGAGACATAGCCGGCTGTAGGGGGGCGGGGACTTTTAGTCCCAGCAACTGCTTCATGGGGACAAGACCTTAGTTGCTGTACTCATTAGGCCTGACACTCCTGTGCAGATCCTGTTTTGCTAATGAATAGTTAAATCTAGTTTGCTTAGTGTGAGTTACTGCTGGCTTGCTCTTGTCATCCATCTAAACTGGCATGTTGTTGTTCCTCTAAGCAAGGAGCGGGGAACTTCTTCTTTTTTTAGCTCAGGGGCCACATTCCCTTCTGACAGGCCTACCTCCCAGTGGTGGGCAGAGCCAGATGCAAAAGTGGGTGCAGCAACACATATAAAATTTACCTTTGTACAGTAGGCTAATTTCTTCACACAGCCCTGACTATCCTCCATTGAGGCAAGCAAGAGGCATTATCAGAATTCAACGATGCATTCCAGTCAGGCAAATATCCTCAAAGCAAGGCCATTGAGAGGCATGGCTGAGGAGGAGGGTGTGGCTGAGCGGGTGTTTGTGGCAGGAAAGGGCATGTGGCCTGGGGAGAGTCCCAAGGGCCACCTAGAGAGGACTGGAGAGTCACATTCCCCCCAAGGTTCACTACCCCTGTTGTAAGCAAACACCAGAAACTTTGCAGAGGTCTGTGATATGGTACCACCTGCTCAGTTACAACAGCTCTGTTACCACAGTCACCTTTTCGTGACATGGAGACACTGCACATGATGGCACTGGTCCAACACACATAGGTGCACTTTATTCTGTGGTGTTCCAGTGGGAGGTCAAAGTATGTCCTTCTTAAGGTGGGTCCTTTGCACTGTCACAGCAAAGGCCTGTTTCCAGACACTAACAATCCAACAGTGAGAGTAACCCCTAGCTCCTGCCATTGACCCCAGAAACAAAGGAACTTCAAAGCTCTTTCCACTAGGCACCCCCAGCTCCAGAACGCACACTGTATGTTACAGAGGCACTATTATATCAGCATGCTTCCACCTTCTAACAGCCCGCGAAGCTCTGCCATGAGAGAAGCAGGAAATGGTTATCCCAAAGTCTGGTCTGGGAGGAGGAAGCTTGGGCGCAATTGTCTCTGTGGGAAAACGTAGAGTTTACACACGAACACACACACACACACGCACCCCCTCTCTCTCCACTATGCCTCAGAAATAACGGCTGCCTGGAAAACTCAGAGAAGCCACAGTAGTAGCCATCAAGGTCATCTCTTGCGCAAGCCTTGGATATGACAGCCTACATCCCCTGCCACCTGGTTCTCTCCCATTTGTGTTGCAAAAAAAAAAAAAAAAAAAAAAAAAGGATGTTCCATGGATTTTTCTGCTAGGAAACTGAATCACCACAAAGATACCAGTGCAAAACATTTGTTCTCCTCTCAGGGGTTCATTGGTCCAACACAGAGAGATCTAAAAGTGAGGACACAAGCCTTAGCATGCCTGCTGGTGCTTCCATGATATATCTGGCACAAGGAGTCTGTATTGTCCTACATGATACCCCCCCCCCCAAGATGAAGCGCTTCCATCTTACACTTCCCTCTAAGGCACAGAAAACTGCCTTACACCAGGTCAGGCTATTTGTCTATCTAGACTAGGGATGTCAGATAATTCTGTCAGATCTGGAAATAGGAAAGGGAAATGCACCAATTTGCACATTTGTCCAAGGTCAGGAACAGGAATCATGCAAGTGAACACGAGTTGTAAGAGATAAATATCATCTATCAGATGAAGCCCAATGGCAATATCTGCCATTATAACATCCTCTACCAGCCATGTTTGGACTAGCAGCTTTCTCAGCTTCTGAAACACTGGAGATATTGGAACAATTGGATAAATCTTTTGAAACTAAAAAAAACCACTGATCACTTTCTACAGATATTTATTATCAATAAATTTGATATACAGATTTTAAGAAATGATTGGAATAAAGAACTGGATTGTCCAATACCACCTAATCAGTGGGAAAACGTTTTAGCTTCTGTAGCAATGGTATCAATGGATCTTAAATTGTGACTTACACAACAGAAAATAATATTTAGAATTTATTGGCTCCATTATGTTTGTATAAAAAAAACTTGTCTAAGACTTGTAGCTGTTAGGTGGAGATGTAATAAGGATAATGCCTCTTTGAAACACATGTTTTTACAGTGCTCCATACTCACTAAGTTTGGGGAGAAAATTGTGGACTATATAAATATGACTGTGGGGGCAATTTTGAAATTTTTGGAGGAAAATATTCTTTTCAATTATATACCTATTGTATAGAAGCTGACAATTGGACAACAAAAATGGATTCTACACACCCTAACAGTGGCCAAGAGACTAGAATTGATGAACTGGGAGAATAAAGATATGATCCCAATGGATTGATAACATGAGAACATATGAACGGGTTGCTTACAGACAAAGTCTTTGTTTGGACAAATATACTGAAATCAGGAACAAGTTTATACAGGATATAGCAGGTTATTAATTATCATATATGTATTAGGACAATCATATTATCTATTTATTTACATAAAAATGTATGGAAATGTAACTGAGTATATTTAGTGTATTATACTCTTTCTTAATGTATTTTTTGCACTTTCCCCCTTTCTTTTTTCTTCTTCTTCTTTCATTACTTTATTTTCTATAACTGATTTTTAAAAAATAATAATAGCAACAATTTTTTTAAAACCCTCAGTGAGTTAGGGACTTCATCTGCGTGCAAAAAACAGGGTCTGGTGGATGAGTGGATGAGACTGATAATGGGTCCAATGGTCAAGAAGGCGGTTTCTGCAGGAGCCCTAGAGGGATACTTTATGCACTGCATAAAGGAGGATTTTCGCTTATCTGCCTGTATTTTCCAACATTCAGCTGGATAGTCACAAGTTCTAGTGTTATGAGAGCGGGAGACAAACTTTTCTCTATTCATTCTCTCCCTGCCATGCAAAACTCTATCATGCCCGCCCTGGCAATGGTAGCTCTGTGTAAGGGGACGGGGTCTCCTAACAAGTTACAGCACCCTTAGCAGACTACAGCAACCAGAATTCATTGGGGGAAGCCATGACTGATTTAAAGTGATACGATACAGCATTTAATATATGGACGAAATGTGGCCCAAGACTTTGGGCCCTGCCCTGCCCCAGCATGATAAGGAACCTCACCTTGGGCAAGGTGCTGCAGACACCCACCACCAGGCTGCAGACTTGAGCCAGCAACTCGGTCCTGCTCTCTTTCACTTTCACCAGCCGCAGTACCTGCCCTGAGTCCTGGCCCCAGGCTTCTCCTCCTTGCAGCTTCCCCTGAAATGTAAAACAGGAAAAGAGAGAGACACAATGATGGCACAGGCAGCAGCCCAGAAACCATGGTGAGGGAAGCAGCTTCCGCTGCATTAAAAAGAAACATGTTATCGTGACGCACCAGTGACTTTGCGCTGGCTGCCCTCATGTTACACCAGCAGCTGTCACAGATTTGGGGGGAAGCCAGGCTCTTCAAGGACACAAGCCATGGGAATGGCTGCAGGGCTGAGCTGTGGGCTCCTCACGGGCAAGCCGTCTTCACTCACACTGTTAAATGCAACAGGAGACCCCTACGCCCACTGCATTGATGAAGTTGTAATAGGCATAACCATTTTCATATTCCTTCCATACCTGTATAAGGCCACTGGGAGAGCCCTTCTGGATCAGGCCAATGGCCCAGTTAGTGCATCATCCTGTTCTCACAGTGGCCAACCAGATGCCCCAATGGGAAACCCACAAGCCGGACCCGAGCACAAGAGCCCTCTGCCCTCCTGTGGTTTCAGTGAATATTACTGCCTCTGACCATGAAGGCAGAGCATAGGAATCGTGGCTAGGAACTATTGATAGCATTCTCCTCCATCAATCTGTCCAGTCCTCTTTAAAAGCCATCCAAGCTGGTGGCTATTACTGCCTCCTTTGGGAGGGAGTTCCATAGTTTACCGTATTTTTCGCTCTATAAGACGCACCAGACCACAAGACGCACCTAGTTTTTGGTGGAGGAAAACAAGAAAAAAAATATTCTGAATCTCAGAAGCCAGAACAGCAAGAGGGATTGCTGCGCAGTGAAAGCAGCAATCCCTCTTGCTGTTCTGGCTTTTGGGATAGCTGCGCAGCCTGCATTCGCTCCATAAGACGCACACACATTTCCCCTTACTTTTTAGGAGGGAAAAAGTGAGTCTTATAGAGCAAAAAATATGGTACCTACACGCTGCGTGAAGAAGTCCTTTCTGATCCATCCTGAAGATCCATCCTGAATCTTCCAAGATTCCGCTTCATAGGTGTCCATGAGGTCTAGTGTCATGATAGGGAGAAAAAGTTTTCTCTATCCTCTTATACATTTCTATAAAGTCACCTCTTACTTGCTTTTTTTCTTAACTGAAGATTGGTTGTCCTGAAGGAAATGGAAGGGGAATTCAACCTTTTTGGAAGAAAAGCTAGATTCTGCAACCTAAGGTTACAACCTTATGCACACTTCACCTGGCAGACATAATTTCAGCAGGGAAAGGCAGAAAGTTTGGGATCTGCTGGAAAGTTTATGGGTAATTTATAGTAGAAATGCAAGCTAAGGTAAAGGACCCCGGGATGCTTAAGTCCAGCTGAATTCGACTATCGGGTGCGGCGCTCATCTCCACTTTCAGGCCGAGTTGAGCTGGCATTTGTCTGCACACAGCTTTTCTGAGTCATGTGCCCAGCATGACTAAATTGCTTCTGGTGCACAGAATACCATGACGAGTGGAAGAGCGCATGGAAACACCGTATACCTTCCCACCTCAGCGAGAAGTAGATACTAATTTATCTACTTGCACTGGTATGCTTTTGAACTGCTAGGTTGGCAGGAGCTGGGCACAGCAACGGGAGCTCACCCCGTTGGCAAGTTCAGGAGGTTCAGTGGTTTAGAGCACAGCGCCACCTGCATCCCACTAGATATGCAAGGATTCTGTAGCCATAGCAAGAAAAAAGCTGTTTATCCTACCTTAGTTCAGGTCTGGTACCGAAAACAAATTCCTAGGCACAGAATTTGCTCAGAGGCAACCTGTTCTATAATTCTAATGGCATGCCTTTGAACCTGGCTTTGGGTGGGAGATCATACCTTGTTGGCATCTGTTTGTCTTGAGAGATAATAAAGTGATGGAGAGGAGAAGTCAAATTGCTGTGTTAGCAGCACCAAAGTGACCTCCCTGGGGTGCAAGCCTGGGCAGTGTGTATGGAAGTCCTGGGCTGCCCAGACAAGAAGACCTCCCTCTCTGCCTGGCTGATGTGGTCCAAAGGAAAGCAGAGCAAGAGGTTTGGCAGCAGCTTGGCTGCAGGAGTCGCTGGTTGGAGGCATACAAGGCACCCTCATGTGGTTCTAAGAAAAAATGTGGCAAATTGTGCAAGCCCTAAGTCTGCCAACCACTGATTTACAGCACAGTCCTGTGTGGTATCTACTCAGAATAGTAATGGTAATGGTAATAGTTATAATAAATTATTTATATGCTGCCTATCTGACTGCGTTGCCCCACCTAGCACAGGAGAGCAGCTAAGATTGTTTGGGCATATATATGTTCACTGTCAAGGGTGGCAGCAGGCTCCCAATTCCAATAGTGAGACAAAGGAGGATGGAAAGGGTGCATCTTGAGAACAGAGACAAGCAACTCCTAGGTTGCTGGCTTGCGCTATCATTAATGGCCAAGGTCCCAAAACGAAGTCAGGGGCTAATCTGGTCCACAGTCTGGACCTTTGGGGCAGCATTCTTGCCTCTGGAGAGAAAGGAGGCATGAGCCTGAGCATCATCAAGGCAGAGAGAGACAAAGCACAGGGCTTCCTTTAGCGCCCTCCTGTGACTGTTTTGCCAATTGCTCTCAGGCTGGAAAGACGGATAGCAAAGTTCCCAAGTGGACTGGTGCACACAGCCCGGTCAACCTGACTGCATGCACTCACTGCTTTTATTCAGTACTGGCGTCTCATCAAAGGTGTTCTGCAGGCTTTTGAGATACAACAAATCTGCAAAACCTATGAGGATGATGATACCATGCCTGTCTATAGGCAAAAGTCTCCCCAGGAGTTGGGGGCCGGGTAGCAGCAAAAGGGCTACTTCTTTACTCTTGGGAGAAGAGTAAAGAGAAACCATAAGGCAAGGGTGGGGAGTCTCAAGCCTGGGCCAAATGTGACCCTCCAGACCTTTCCATCTGGCCCTTGGGAGTCTTCCCCAAGCTGCACTGCATCCCCAGGCACATACACCCCTTGGCTGTTTTTGCCCGGCTGGAATGTGTGCTTGGAACTCTGATGATGCCTCTTGCACATCTGGATGAAGGACAGAGAGGAAAACACGGTGAAATAGAGGATGTGGTGGAGGACAGAGAGGAGGATGGGGGGGTGGGGCGCCTGTCTTGCCAGTAGTACAAGTGAAAGGGATCTAGGGGTCTTAGTAGATCACAAGCTTCACATGAGTCAACAGTGTGAAGCAGCACCAAAAAAAAGCAAAAAAAAAAAAAAAAAAGCTAATGGTAATGCTAATCTAAGCTGCATCAACAGAAATACAGAGTCCAGGTCTAGGCAAGACATAGTCCCACTCTATTCTGCCTTTGTCAGACCACACTGGAATACAGTGTCCAGTTTTGGGCAGCACAATTTCAGAAGGATGTTGACAAGCTGGAATATGTGCAGAGGAGGGTGACCCATGGAAGATGGAGCAAGGTTGTTTTTTCCTGTTGTGGAGGGTAGGACCTGAACCAACGGATTTAAACTATATGAAAGGTTTACATTCCTTCCTCCCCCCCCCCCACTTTTGCCCCTGGCCCCACATACTTCCGGCATGTGGCCCCTGGAAGGTTACTCAGAAGAGAATGTGGCCATTTGATTAAAAATGGTTCCCACCCCTGCAATAAAGGCTCTGGGGATTCTCCAACCTTTACACCATAGGCCACCTGACATCCTGAAAACAAAATATTTAAACTTTGTTAGAGGAAGAGGGCTCAGCTGGCAGCAAGCACCTTCTGTTCCCAGCTTACAGGAAAGGAAAACAGCCAGAAGGAAGGGAAAGAGAGTTCACTTCTGAGACAGAATTGCAACCTTGCCTGGCTCAGATCCTCATACTTGTAAGAAGGTGAAATGAGCCCTGCTAAATCAGGTCAGTGGCCCAAATAGAGCAGCATCCTGTTCTCACAGTGACCCACCAGGTGCCTGTGGGAAACCTGCAAGCAGGATCCAAACACAAGAGCTCTCTCCCCTAACGTGGTTTCCTGCAGCTGGTATTCAGAAGCATTGCTGCCTCCAGCCGTGGAGGCAGGGCACAGCCATTGTGGCAAAAGCCGTTGATAAGTCTTATTCTCCATGAATTTGTCTCATCCTCTTTTAAAGCCACCCACATTGGTGGCTGTCACTGACTCATGTGGGACCAAAGTTCAACTATGCACTTCACAAAGTTGTACTTCCTTTTACCTGTCCTGAACCTTCCAATCTTCAGTTTCTTTGGATATCCACAATTCCTAATGCTATGAGAAAGGGATGTGAGAATGCACAAAAGTGAAACCCAGTGGAACACCAAGCTACCGATGGTGGCTACTGTCTCCCTCTACAGTTGGAGGCCGTATGCCTCTGAATACCAGTTGCTGAGAAATGCAGCTGGAGAGGGTGCTATCACCATCTGCTTGCGGGCTTCCCATTAAGGCATCTGGTTGACCACCATGCTGGCCTTTGGCCTAATCCAGGAGGGCACTTAAGTTCACCCAGCCCACCTCTAGAACACCTCTCCTGCATCATTTAACTGTGATTGTACAGAAACAAATGAAGCCATCTAATGCAGTGTTAGATGGCTGGTCCATCTAGTAGTCAGGAGCAAGCAGGCAGTAAACAATACCATGCAAGATGGAGTGAACACTTCATTTGCAAAAAAATGCGATCTGCACAGACTTATTGGAGTGTCAGGCCTAATGAGCATGAGCACAGCAGCTCATCTCAGTAGGTCTGCCCCCATGAAGCAGTCGCTGAGACTGAAGGTTGGCATAGGAAGTTGCTTTATCCCAGGCTGGGCAGTCCCAGGCTGGTTTTCGGGTGGAATTGAAGAAGGCACCCGAGGGTTCAGATTGCACCATTAAAGTTGGTTTGGTGCTCTGTGAACCTGCTTCTCCTCCCCCCACTGGACTTTTTTATTTTTTTGCAGTAAGGAAAGTGACAGTAAAGTGTGGGATAACAATCCTTTGATGCAATATAATCTAACCTCTGTGCAAACACATCAAAATTATTAAATAGCTGACATTGTCTAACCAACCCACAAACATTTATTCAAGTTTATCAGGATGAATGCTCTTTAAACAGCACACCTAGGAGAAGGCTATGTCAGACCATCAAGCTCAGTATTGTCAACATTGATTGGCAGAGGCTCTCTGGGGTCTCTCCCAGTGCTACCTGGAGATAGCAGGAGTTGAACTGAGAAGGCAGATTCTCTATGATGAAACCACAGTCTTTCCACAAAGGGTTCCCCAACTCTTGGACTTGGAGGATGGAGGTGGGGGGAACTTGAAGGTGGCCTTAGCAGAAGCCCACACTCTCACCTGTAGGCCATATCTGTTATGGTCATGATTCTTGCTGGCATCGCCCACATTCTCCAGATCCATGGCCCCATCCTGCTTGCAAGCAGAGAGCAAGTTCAGCTCATAACACTCTTGGATATCTGAAAAACAGGCCGAGAGAGATGTAGATGCAAAAGGAAACAGAATTGCTCCAGCTGCCTTGGGAGATTCTTAACACTCAAGGCCTGGGCAGGGTGAATGAGTCAGGGGTGTCAGCATAGCCAGCAAGGTGAGCAACAGCAAGCTCAGTGAGATTTGCCCACAAGGCAGGAAGTTCAGCAGCAACACAACCAACTCCATGGTTACAGCTATGCATTGCTAACTTCTCTTTTCCACTCCCAGCTCTTGCACATCTGGAAGACCTGGGGCTCTGCTCAGAGCCAGAGGAAGGCAGAATCATTCCTGCCCTACAGGAAGGAGTTGCCAGCAAAAGAGGTCATTTTAAGTTGCCCTTTAAGTTGTTGCTGGCCACCATCTGTCTCAAGAGACAATGGAGTGCACCTCCGGTGGTGAAGTCAAGCTGCTGCATTAGCAGCACCAAAGTGACCTCTCCAGGGCACAAGCCTGGGTGGTGAGTCTGGAGGTCCTGGGCTGCAAAGAGGACAAGACTCCCCTCTCGGCCTCACTGATGTGGTTCAAAGGAAAGCAGCGCAAGACATTTGGCACCAGCTTGGCTGCAGGAGTTGCCAGAAGTAGGCGACCATCTTAGGGACTCCTCTCTGGATTTATGTGGAGTTTGCTTCTTAGCTTTTTCTTCTCCTGAAGATATTCCACAAGGCAGTGGAGGTTTAGGACCAGAGTAGTCCTCCTTCTGGATTTTCTACCTTCCCAAGTGGATGAGCCCCACCTGCCCCAAGTTTCCCTCCACAGCACATGCAGAAACCGCCTTTGATAATCTTCTTGGAGCAGCAGAGTCCACGTGGGAACGCCACCTAGGCAGCAAGCAGGGGCTTCCCAGAGAACCTGACATGTGCCCTCACTTATCACGGTTGGCTGGTGTGTCGCTGTCACCACCACCACTGTGCCTATTGAAGGGGAATGGGAGCAGCTTGGCAGCTACCCAAGCTCAGCCAGGAAAAGCTGAGAGGAGGAGGAGGGCAGTGGGGAGGTGGAGGCTCAGGCATTTCCTCTGTGCGCAGGGCCAGGGTCTCACATTCCTGAGTGGAAGCAGCAACAGCAGCAGCTGGCGGCTTTGCTACGACCAGACATGCCCTGCTCTCTTGTGCTGGTTGCTCCCACTGAGCTGGGCAGGACTGAATCCCTCCTTCAGTTGGCTCCCACCTGGAAACGCCATCAGAGCAAGCCATGGCCTGATAATTAACTGGATAGGAACCCACATACAGTATCCCATTTAGTATCCCCCAAACTTCCCCCTCATGTATCCTGCCCAGGGGGCATAGGCTCTGGACAGCTCTTATTGCTATGCCAACTGGTGCTCCTAGGGCAGCACTGCAAACTAGGGGAGTAGGGTGTGCCTCTTTTTGGGAATGGTCAGCCCCTTTTCTCCCCAGAATGTTAGGCCAACGATTGGGGAGTGGTGCAGGTCCATCCCCCTACTCTAGGGCCACATTCACACAAAACATTTGAAGCATGGCAATACCACTTTAAACAAACATGGCTTCCCCTAAAATACTCTGGGAGCTGTAGTTTGTTAAGGGTGCAGATTGGTTTTAGGTGGTCCCCTATTCCCCTTGCAAAGCTACAGTTCCCAAGTCCCTCGTGAAGAGGGATTGATGGTCCAACCACACATAGTGGAATTGTAGCTTTGAGGGGAATGGGGGTCTCCGGAAAACTCCCAGCACCCTTAACAAACCACAGCTCCCATAATCCTTTGGGGGAAGCCGTGAGTTTTTAAGTGCTTTAAATGTATGGTGTAAATGTGGCTCAGGTCCACCAAAACCTTCTTCAAAATCTCCCACCACCACCTCCCCAATTTTTAAAGTCAACAACTGAAACAGAGCCTATTGCTATCCTTGTTTTTAGGAAACGCTATAAAGCATGGGTTCCAGGCATATATATATCCATGGCTCAGTTTCCTAGGAATGAGGTTCAGCGGAGACCGTGGTGTCTTTATGACATATGGCTTATTCACACATATACACAACCTGAGCCTACGCTGGAGGCATTACACAACCAAGCATTAACACACAGCATTAACAACCAAGAAAGTCTTCCTTGTCCCAATCACAGCCTTGGATTCCAGGAGAAATCAAGCACGGCTCTCCCTCTCTGGCTTACACCTGCTTCTAACTTCCAGAGCTCTCTCTCACACAACTCTCCACTCTGCCTTTTGTCTTTCTAACTTAACACCACCCATCTGCTCTCTGGCACAGAGCCATTTTCTTTGTTATACTAATGACCAACTGTACTTATGGTACTTAGATGACAACTATGACCCTTGCCTGACTAGCCAAACAATTGAATCCTCCATTAGATTGTAACCCTTGATAGATCCAGGACCCCAGGAATTAAGAGGAGATTTGGGCATCATGCAGACCAATCCCCCTGAATTCACAACCATACAGACATGCTACAGGGCTGCTGATAGTACTACCAGTAGCTAAAATTGTGTAAAGCACTTGAAAATGAAAGATAACAAACACTATTATTAGCATGAATGGCACCTTACCTATTTCCCTACCTCTTAGGACACTCCCCTTGGTTACTGTTTTTTAAGAAGACTGGGGTGGGGAGGAGGATATAGCTAAAAAAGGGGAGTCAAGGAGAGGAAGTGGGGCTTGAGGGTTGCATCAATAATTTCCCAGGTAATTCAAGCATTTGTTACCAGAGGGCAGGAGAGGGACATAGACCAACAACGTTCTGTGTCCTACATAGAGCAGCTGCCATTTTATGCTACAGAGTAGTGGCTCCCAAAGTGGGTGGTACTGCCCCCTGGAGGCAGAATACAAAGTGGGGTGCTAAAAGGAAAGTGGGGAGCAGGGTCTAATTGACTGTCAGAATTTGCAAAGCTGGCACCACTGAATCAATTAAACTCAACTGCTTTAATTGGATTTTGAATAAACATACAACTAATTCTCTTTTTAAAAAATATTATTGTGCTATTATTTTCCTTAAGGAGTAAACCCTACACAAATCCAGAGTGGTGTCCCTAAGATGGTTGGATGGTGCCTTGTAGGCCTCCTTCCGGCAACTCCTGCAGCCAAGTGGGTGTCAAACACCTTGCTCTGCTTTCCTTTGAACCAGATTGACGAGGTTGAGAGGGGTCTTGTCGTCTGAGCAGCCCAGGGCCTCCAGACACACCGCCCAGGCTTGCCCCCCCCAAAGAGATCCCTTTGGTGTTGCTAATGCAGCAGTTTGACTTCACCCCCAGAGGCACACCCCACTGTCTCTCAGGACATAGGGATGCCAACAGCAGTGGGTCGTGCAAGCTGCTATTATGAATAATGATTCTTAGAGGGATGGGTGAGGGCATTGGGGATAAGTTTATGGAACCGAGGGCGTGGGGGAACCGTGGGAAGCGCCAACCAGGGTCCCTCCAGATGTGTTGGACTACAACTCCCATCACTGGGGCTGATGGAGCGAGTGGTGGTGCAGTGGTCAGAGCATTGGACCAGGTCCTTGGAAACCACGGTGCAAATCCCCACACTTGGCCATGAAGCTTTCGCTGGATGACCTTAGGCCAGTCACTGCCTCTCATGCTAACCCAGCCTCACAGGATTGTTGTGGGGATTAAATGAAGGACAGGAGAACCCCTTGGAGGGAGAGAGACGGAAGGTGTATATCGAGCAATAAAGAAACAAATAAGTTGCAGTTCAGCACAGCTGGAGGACCTCAGGTCAGCAAAGGCTGCTCTATAGTCCAGCTGGGGGGAGGGGAGGAACCAATGTTTCCCCTGCCAATCAAATTTGATTTGGGGCATGGCTATGGCCAGGTAAATCATCAACAGCTGTATAGGAAGCTCTGCTCAGATAGCACAGCCCACTCTAGTTCCTGCCAGCTTGACAGAAGGTAGCAGAACCCTGTGATCATGTGTACAAATCGCTGAAGCCGCTCATCCGAGCACCTGTATAACGAACAGCTCTGGCACGGGGGGGGGGGACCTGCAAGAGGCGCAGAAACAGCTACTGCTCTCCGCCCTCCACCCCCTGCCCATCTGCCCACAAAGCATGCCCAGGTGCTTTGGCTCTGTACAGCTGCAAGGCGCCCTTACCTAGCAGCGCCTGGAAGAGCTCGCTCTGGAAGACGTGAACCACTTTCTCGATGGAGACTTGCAGAGGCTGCTCCGCCGGGGACTGCAGACTCCCCTGGTACCTTGCCAGGATCTCCACAGCCCGCTGGGTGTCTGCCAAGACAGGATCAGAGCTATAAAGCACAATGCCTGCTCACAGGCAGGTGCTGCCGGCCCCAACTAGGCAGCAGGCCACGCCCCCTCATGCCCCACTGCTGACATCGTTTGCCCCTGTTATGTGGGCAGAGGTAGACTGCCTTTGGAAAGGAAAGGTTCCATCTCACTGTCACAGCCAACAGCTGCCCTTCTCCACAAATTCACCTAACCCTGTTTTATATCCACCTTACAACGAACCACGTTTGCAACTTGGTTCCAGTGTGTGCTTGTTTGTTTGTTTAAAAACAAACAAACAAACAAACAAACAAACAAACAAACAAACAAACAAAACAGGATTTCCTTAGACCAAGTCTTATACTGCTGGTCTATTTGGTTTATCTGCCTTATACAGAATCAGACCATGGATCCACATTGCATCCACACTGTACATTCAATGCACATTTAAAGAACACAACTCCCCACCCCCAAGAATCATGGGAAATGTAGTTTAACTGCTCACCAAACTACAGTCCCCATCACTCTTAACAAGCTACACCTCCCAGGATTCCTTGAGGGAAAGCCACACGCTTTAAGTGCCCTTTAAACGTGCTTTAAATGCATGGTGTGGTTGTGACAGCACTTACTGGATTTCAGGCAGGGTTCTCTCCCTGTAGATGCCATCAGGAATCAAACCTGGACCTTCTGCATGCCAAGCAGAGGCTCTGCCACTTAGTTATGGTCTTCCCCCCTTTGGAAGTCATTCAAAACACAATGCTTTGGCCCACAGATCTACAGCCCTAACCAGATTGTGGAAGGGAGTCCCCCTGTGGATGTGGGCTCAGACTGACTCCCATCCAAAAGCAACACTGCCTCTCAAAAGCATGGGGAGGGTGGTGAACAGCAGTGCAGCTGGGTCAGTGTACTGGATGAAGCAAAGATCACCTCTGTTGAAGCAGTGATTCTTCAACATCAGCTTCGTTGGACTGGTCATGTTGTGCGGATGTCTGATTATCGTCTTCCAAAGCAACTACTCTATTCCAAACTTAAAAATGGAAAGCGTAATGCTGGTGGTCAACAAAAGAGGTTTAAAGACTATATCAAGGCAAATCTTTAAAAATGTAGTATAAACACCGACAACTGGGAAACACTGACCTGCGAGTGCTCCAGTTGGAGAACAGCCATTACCAAAGGTGTCATGGGCTTTGGAGACACTCAAACTCCACTGTGCCCCCACTGTGGAAGGACATGTGGGTCCAGAACTGGCCTCCACAGTCACTTACCGACTCATTGTTAAAACCGTGTTTAGGGAAGACAATCTTACTCGGCTATGAGGGATTGCCAAAGAAGCAGCAGCCGCTGGGTCAGGCTGGTGAAGGGCCCTTCTGAGCCCCTCGGACCACCAGCCAGTGCCTAAGCTGTCTGGCTACAGGAAGGCTGGAGTTCTCTCCCTATTTACTCTCATTCTGATATACTTGGCATTTTTAATTTGAAACACTCACTCACTTTTATTTTGTCCCCCTAAAAAAATCAAAAGAGCTTCTTAAAACTCTAGAAAAGGGCTCTCAGAGATCCTGATCAACCAAGCGGCTAAGTTCAGATGCCTCCCTAGCCTCCTGTGGGTTCTGCTGCCCTCAAGAAGCATCTGGCCCCAGACCAGCGCATGGAGGGGGGCTTCCCTTTGTGAGGGACAGCCCTAAAACAAAGGGCGTCTGTACCAGCTCCTGGGAGGAGTCAAACAAGAGGGCAGCTGAGCCCATCCTCTGACCTTGTAGCTCTTTTGCTCCCAGCAGGGGGTACAGATCCCAGAACAAGAGGGCTGTGTCTGCAAGTGCTCAGGACCCTGAGACAATCACTTCTCACAACATGCCACCACACCTCAGGAAGAAAGCTGGAGATGTTGGGAGATTTCCTTCTTCCAGTACAGGAGTTTGCAAACCTTTCTGTTTCAAAGCCAGCCACATAAGCATTGATTTGTCTGCTATGGAATCTCAAGTGGGCTATGGATTGTGCTTTACTTGCATGGAGGACAACGAACACAGCTAAGCTCTGCCTTCACGGTTGGAGGCAGCATGCTTCACTGTGTTAGAAACTCAGATATATAAGTTAGGTGCCAAATGGCTCCTTAAACCAATGTTGGTTATATACTCAGATACATAAAATATATAAACTCAGATATATAAGTTAGGTGCCAAATGGCTCCTTAAACCAATGTTGTAGTCGTCAAAATGGAATATCTAGTTGCCATCTTGGGGGCAGCTGGCTCTAAAGTCTTATTTTTCAAATGATGGACTGACTGTGATTGATTATGACTAGTGAGCTTTGAGAACTTACAGAAGAAGAATCACTTGATCCAGTCACAGTCCACATATATACTGGCTTATTCCGATCTCTTTTTCTTAATGGTGACTGCTCTTTCTCAGGCTGCACAGAAATAGGCATTTTGGTTCCAGGAATTCATCCCAATTGTGCAAATAAAATATAACTGACAGAACTCTATGGGATGGGGGTATTAGTGTGTGAAAGCAGTCCAGATCCGATGATCCCCAGATGGTGGAGATATCAGGTGCCATCCTGGCACCTAGGCATCTTCGCTTGGTCACAAGTGGTTGAAAGGCAGGTGCACAATGTGACTGGCTAATTTTGAACAGTGTAAATACCAGTTGCCAGGAATCACAAGCAGGGAGAGTGCTGCTGTTGCACTCAGGTCCTGTTTGCAGATTTCCTATCGGGGCATCCTTCTGGCTACTGGGAGAACAGGATACTTGACTAAATGTGCCTTTGGACAGGTCTAGTTGCAGGGCTCTTCTGATATTCTTAGGCTGGGATCCACATTGTGTCCCCTGCCATAAATGGACAGTGCATCCTAGGAAAGCACTTATTACTCACCTGCAGCTATCTGCTGTTTGCTGTAGGGGGGTGGGGAAACCTCTCTGCCCAGAACCCTTGCAGAAGGGTTCACACTCTTCCTGTACCACCCTCAGAATTAAAAAGACACTAGTTCACACTGTTGGAAGGCTTCATGAGATCAGAGCAATATAAGGGGTTTCCCAAGTGCAGAAACACACATCCTTACCTTAAGTCACCCAGACCCTGCTTCTCTGTTCCATGCAGGCACTGGGTGGGCATTCTATTTTAAGAAAAATCGCCTTACCCTACCAAATGCCCACTTGACTGCACTGATCTGGGGAACTAGGACTGTTGCAGGTGCCACATAATACTCATTCTGCACAACAGCACCTGCAGGTTGGAACTCCCTGCCTATTGACATCAAGCAGGTGCCTTCGCTGTACTTTTTTTGGCACCTGCTAAAAAACATTTTTCTTTAGGCAAGCTTAGCCAGACATGTTAACATATGTTTTAAGCTGCTCTCTAGCTTGCTGTTGATCTCAATTATTTTTTGAATGTTTTAAACACTTATTTTCAACTGTTTTTCTTTCTTTACTGATAATCCTATGGTTTTCTTCTTTTTGTAAATCACTCTAAGGTTTTATCACAGCTGAGCGGTATGTAAGTTTTGTGAAATAAATAAAGGGCATCTAAGCCGCCCATTACATATTTTTTTTGACAAGAGACCAAGGCTGCTCGGAGAATGGACTGAGTCAGATCATTGCTCCTCCTTGCCCAGGGATAGAGAAGCACTGCAAGAAGTTGTTAATCACCATATTTTTCGCTCTATAAGACGCACCACACCACAAGGCGCACCTAGTTTTTGGAGGAGGAAAACAAGAAAAAAAAATATTCTGAATCTCAGAAGCCAGAACAGCAAGAGGGATCACTGCGCAGCGAAAGCAGCAATCCCTCTTGCTGTTCTGGCTTCTGGGATAGCTGCGCAGCCTGCATTCGCTCCATAAGACGCACACACATTTCCCCTTACTTTTTAGGAGGGAAAAAGTGAATCTTATAGAGCAAAAAATACGGTATATTATTTACCCCACTCTTTAAGCAGCCTCCCTTTTATATCCTCACAACAGTCTTGCAAGGCAGGTCAGCTGAGAGGCAGTGGCAGGTCAAAGGTTTATTCCTTTGGGACTGAGCAGGGATTTGAATCTCACCACCTACAATCCAGGACTCTATCCCAAGAGCAACCAATGTGTTGCCCTCTAAACATTTTGGACTACAACGCCTATTTGCCCCAGACAGCATGGCCAATGGTCAGGGATTATGAGAGTTGTAGTCCACAAATCTGATGGGCACTGCAGTGGCAGTGACAATCCCAGACCTGGATGCGTGTGCACAGTTCCTGATTTACGTATGAGCTGAGCAGGCTAGAGCCCACTGCCTCATAAACTAGAGGGCATCAGCCTCTTGCAAAAAAAGGGGGGGAGTTTTAATAATAAACTGCAAAAGAAACAGCTATAGAAAATTATTCAAAACATTATTCAAAATTACACCCAACAATTCCACCTTGTGTAAACCAATTATTTTATTCAACCCTCAAACAGAGATATCGTAAGTTTACTGGTAAGTTTAGTTACTGATTTTAATAGTATAATTGAGAAGTTTGCATCCAAAAGAGCTTGATAGAAACTCTTCTGACTTTGCATATACTGTAGTACAATGATTCCTCTATGAATGTGGTGAATGTCTCCATTAATTCCATACTTTTGTAAACTTGATAAAAGTTATAAATTTATAAGCAGTCTTTTTATCAATGCCAAGATTTCAGCAATGTTCTACTTTCACTGAATAGATATAGGGAAGAATTGGGTTTTGCTTCTCATGATCAGATGCTATTAAGTCTGAGCCTCCCCAGGTCTCTTAGCCAAGGCCTTCAATGGCTGCAATCGTGGCCTGGGTGTGCAAATCACATTACTGTACAGTAGCAGGTAGCAAAGTTAGAGAGTGGCTTCTGGGCCTTTGACTCCAGCACTTTGTCCCTGCTGGAAAATGCTTCTCCCTGAGGTGCAGCTGTTAACATGCACAGAAACCCTGTCAATGAAATTCTGGGGGCAACCCCATACAGGATGCCAGGCGGGTGCCCCCAGAAGGGCTTCCCACAACTTTGTCTCCGGGAAAAGCTTCACACCAGCCCTGCCAAGAAGATCAAAAGGTGGCATCTCAGGTGGCAGCAATAAGTTTGGGAAAGACACGGCCCCATTCATGGGCATTCACTCTCTAGCCGCGGAAGGGGTCCAGAGGCCTTGAGGGGGGGAGAGCACAGAGAACAGTGCGCACCACAGCCGCCCCCTTCCGCCTCAGGGGCCCGGGCACGACAGCTCGCCGCCCCCCGGCACCCTCTTACCTCTCCGGCTGGTCATGGCCCGGGCGGGGGCGCCCCCGCCGTTATCTCCACTACGCTCTCCGAGATAAGAGGGGAGGAGGCTGGGCGGGTGGCGTTGCCTTGAGGGGCCGCCCTGTCCGGACGGAGGGACGGAGGGCGGGGAAGAGGCGGAGGAGGGCAAAGGGGCCGGGCTCCGACTTTCTGGGCGGGACAGTCGGCCGGCCGGCGGGGTTCACGCGCCCAAAGAGCGGTGGAGGTGTTCCCTGCCCACCCTTTCTCCCAGAAAATCACGAGGGCTGGAAATGTCACTCTTCCAAACGCACCCCAAAAGGGCAGCCACGTTCGCTTTTGCGATTCGTTTCCCAAAGAGACTCACGGGCGCTGGATACCACACACACCAAACCTACGGGACGAGACGGGGAAAACACCCCTCGATCCCAGGGCTTTGCAGAGGATGCGAGAGCTGCAAATGCTTTGCCCGGGGAGACGGAGGCTCTGAAGCCAGGAAACGTGGCTCCGGCCCCGGACACACGCACCCCATGCCGTGTCCAGTTTCGTCCCACCTCTAGGATGCTGCCAGCACCCTTTGATAACTAAAAGTGACCACCCAAAACTTTCCCCCTTCGGTGCCCTAAGTTTAGCGAGTACCTGCCATGTGTTTCCCTCACTATTCGATCAACAGATGCTTGCCTAAGCGCCGCCCAGGCCTTGCCACGCGTGCATGGACACGGTCCAATGGCAATGCGCGCGTCCCAAGGTGAAGGCAGGGGGCGGGGCGAAGAGGAAGAAGACGCGCGGTTTTCATCATTACTCTGGACCTTTAATGGGAGCGGGAAGGTTGAGCGACTGTGTCCTGGGGCGAAAAAACAAGCATCATATTTATTTTTCAGGTCTTATTGTAAGGCTTGATTGTCACAAAACCTTACAAAAAGAATACAACAATAAAAATTATGAGTAAAAACATTTAAGAACAACTATTTTAAATATACGGGTGTTTTGTTCTTTTAAATCAGTGAGCTAAAAACCAGATTGAAACGTGTCAGCATTCAGCGTATCTGGATAGGATTGCCTAACGGAAAATGTTTTTAGCACAAGCCGGAAAGAGTACAACGAAGGTGGCTCGCCGCCTGATGTCACTACTGCCACGGGGATGTTTCACTCGGCCTGGAGTTCCAAAGTGTGGGTGCTGCCACACTTATTGCTGGCATCTGCCTGCCTTCAGATACAATGAAAGAGTGGACCATCGGGGGTAAAGTCAAACATTTTAGAGAGTTGCTTGTAGCACTTACCAGGGGTGCCAACTTCAATAAAATAGACCCAGGTACGCCCCGCCCCACGTAATAGATCACATGACGATGCACATTCACACCCTTTGAATGGCAGTGCCCATCAACTCTGGGGGACCAAGCAGCCCTCAAAAATATTTTACTGGGGGGCACAAAGGGACCTTAGCCCCTAGGAGTTGGCTTCTAGGGTGTTTAAATAGGATTTAATGTAGGGCTACCACATTAAAAGATTGATTTCTTACAAATGCCAAACGAGTATCATGGGGCACCTGTAATTTTACCATGGAAACGGTTGCCAAAATAACTTTTAAAAGCATTTGAGTGTTCTAAAGGTGGTTTTGTTTGTTAGTTTGGGGATAGGAATCAATTTATCCATATATCTTGAATGGAGATTAGTCAGGAAACTTCAAATAAAGGCTAGTGAGGCATTGGGGTGTATCCAGTTTACTCAGAATTATTGTGGTGTAAAGGTAAAAGGGCCAGATTACGACAGAAGCGGGGGGGGGGGAGCTGGGTTCAAATCTGCACCCTGTCCCCATCTCTCTTATTCACACCAGTGGGTCTGTTGTGGTACAACAAGAAGCATCATTGGACAACATTGCCATACCCTCCAACGTTTCTCTGATGAATATAGGGACATCCTATTCTATTATTATTATTATTATTATTATTATTATTATTATTATTATTATTTTACTATTGATACTCCACCCATCTGACTGGGTTTCCCCAGCCACTCTGGGTGGCTTCCAACACGTATAAAAATAAAATAAAACATTTTAAAAATTGCCTATTCACAGCTGCCTTCAGATAGCTCAGGGGTCGGATGAGTCCATACCCTCCAACATTTCTCCGATGAAAATAGGGAAGGGATTCTGGGATCAAATCAGATCCCCATGATAAGAGCAGGAAACAACAGTATGTTGGTATACTGTTACTTTGTTGCTTTATTCCCAAAATTTTCTGGGTTAAGGGGGCTGAAAGCAGATTTACTCCCCAGAATCTAGCAATATGGAAATGAGTGCTAAACATACACTGATGTTATGAGTTTTGGGGGGAGGATTAGGATGAATGCCTGAGTCCTCTTCAGATTCCTGGAACAGCCAAGCTGGATTCTGGTGAGGTGATAGACCACTAAAAGGAACAAAGGAAAAGGTTCTGTGCAAGAAGGTGGAGCGGAGTCCCCTCCATCAACTCATGGGAAGATTACGACAAAGTTGAGAGCTGAGAGTGAAGTGATGTGAGCTAGAAGCAAAGCTGCAAGCTGGGGACCAAGAGAAACAGAGCAAGGTGTGATTTCTGTTTGAATCCAAGGCAGTAGCAAGACCACCCTTTTGGGTATCAATGCTGTGAAGCTCTCCATTGCAGGCTCAGGTTGCAAAGATGTGCGGCAGCATAGTGTTGGTTGCTGGTGGTCCTGCGCATATGGGCACACACTGTGTGTGTGTGTGTGTGTGTGTGTGTGTGTGTGTAAGAGCCTGCCACACCAGCCCATACCCTCGCCACCAATGCTGCCAGAGCGAATCCACCCCCATAAAAGCAAAGCAGGGCTATGCTGAGCTGATTGCCTGCCTGTCCGCTCAGGGGGAAGCCCAGCCAGCTGGCGCAACCCTTTATGGACAACTCCCCCCCCATCCAATGCAGTGGTGCCCATGGAGAGGAGCACTGGGCCATGCTGCACTGGAGGTGCCTGTGTAGGGGCTCCTGGTTCGTGCTCCCCCCACCCCCGCCCCACTATGCCCCTGTATTTGTGTAAACAAGCCATATACTGTATTGGAAAGACAACATAGTCCCCACTGCATCTGATTCCAAAAGAAAACAGGACTGCTGGGTAAGCTTCTGGAACCCCTGAAATCTTGCACCACTTGGAGATTGGGGGCGGCATGCAGCACTAGATTCCATGAATTTTTCCAGAAGTGGCTTTTACATCATATCATATCTCAAATATAATGTGGGAATTTAGCAAGGAAACTACCAGGGAAGTGGAATTAACTGCCTTGTGAACGCAGCCAAAGTTCAAAATGGGACCTTGGCAGACTAAAACTGAGTAGACACAGGTTTCATTCCCACTCGCTCACAAAGGTGTCTGGGTGACCTTGGGCAGGTCAATCTCTCTTAGCCCAACTCAGGGGTTCCCAAAGTGGGTGGTGGGATTAGCTGGGGGAGGGATGTGTGCTATGAGGCAAGGGAGTAGCAGGAAAAGCTAATATCACTGGTGTAGTTCATCAGTTTTGTTGATTTAATTAAACTAAACAGTTTTAATTAGATTTTTAATAAACAAACAATTGTTACGGTTCTGAATTTTATTGCGTTATTAACTTCCTTACTGGGTTGTGCAATATGCTATTCTGAATAATGCTTCTTATGAGGTATGGTATGGGGCATTGGGGGTGAGTTTATGGAACCAAAGGGGGGTGAGACTGAAAAGGTTTGGGAACTAGTCTAATTTATCTTACAGGGTTCCTATGAAGGTTTTGTGGGCAGCCTCATACATATAACCAACATGCTGAAGTCTAATTAATGCATGAAGGGGTTAAGACCATAGAGTAAGCTGTCCTACCAGGTTTAAGGAGGTCATTCTCCCCACCTTGGGAGAAAGGGAAACCAAACTCTTCAATCCCCCATATTCCATCATGTGACCCCAGCCAGTAGGGCTTATTTTCAGCACGAACCCACCAGAACTCAGTTCTGGCACCTCTCAGGTGGGTGCCATTGCCATTCTAAGAGAACAAGGGGGGTGTTCATGGTAAGTTCTGGCACCTCTTTTTTATATTTAAAAAAATAGCACAGTCTACCAGGTGCTTGGATTCTCCAAGCTTAGACTGCATGGTGTAAGCAATCCATCTTTGTGTTATTATACAAATGATTTAAAAACATTTACCATTTTTGGAACCTAAGTTATGCTGCCTGTCTTGCTGCTGTATGGAAAAGCACATGAATCTGACCATTGAAAAGTTTGTAAGTAAGCCATTTTTAACTTACCAAACATGTGGTCTCTTTCTATGCTAAAGGAGGTGGGGAAATTTGGAAGTAACCTAGAAGGGGATATTTAAAAAGTCTAACAGGCTACATTTCCACATTTTACTTTGCTGCATGTTTTGTGATATTATATCTCTACTATGGCTCTCTTGCTGAAGAGGACTTGGACCAAAAAAGTACTTAGGCATCCAGAGAATTCCTTTTTATTTTATCTTATGTTTTTCCTTTACCCAACCCAATCAACCAACAATTTTTATACTTCTTGTCTTTCCATGGACATCTCAGTGGCAATTATAATAAGAGGCTGCAGGCCAAGTTTGATCATTGGTCTGATGCAGAAGTGTTGTTCTTTTTTTAAAAAACAAACATTTCTGACAGCAGAAGCAGAAGCAGAATCAATATTTGGCATTCAGTGGAAATCACGGAGATGCTGGATGCTGAATCAACATTTTTGAAGCAAAATATACACCACCCACACACCTCTTCCTTCCTGCTTTAAGGAAATCATTTTGCTTTCAGGCCCTCTTTTTGTTAAAGATTTACTGAAACCTTCCCATTGAGTGGCTTTATCTCCAGCCTAGCTATGTAACAAACTCACATTAATACTCAACAGTGTTATTTTCTGCCCCTTAGAAAATAGAGAACTGCTGCATGAAACATGCAGGCCTTCTCCATTAGGAGCTTTTAGTCATCATCACAGACAAATGCAAAGTAGTTGAAGGAAGCAATCATGACCCTGTGGAAAAGGGCAGATTATCACTCCCAGGAATTTAGGAGATGCAGCTTGGGTTGTTCTCAGCCTCAGGGCAGGTGGTTGGCTTGAGAAACTTCCAAGAATAGCACTTTTATTTTGTCACCAACCTTGCTTTGGTTGTTAGTGGGGAGATCTGTCAACATAATTATAGGGGCAGGGATGAAGAGAACATTGGTAG